TGGCAGACTAAGAAAACTCATAGCCTGAACAAGGGAGGGATAAAGTAGTCTCTCCAAACATGCTCTTCTGGATGTCAGGAAGTAAAATACTGGGTGACTCTTTGAAAGTCTCACATCTCTTTAGTCTCAAATAAACCTTGACACCCAAGTAGGGGTATCAGGCAGCCACATTTTTACCAGGGTTGTTATGAAAGGGGAGGAGTGAGTTTCCAAATGCAGACATTGAAACACTAAATGGTAGCCTCCCATTTGTAGCCAATGAGTATTCACAAGGACAGGTGGGTAATGGAGGATGAACATTCCCTCCCAGCATTTTTAATTAACTGGTTGTTGGATTTATTGGTCATCTCAGTGGGAAATCAGAACCTACTACTTGGGGGCTATTTTTATAGCCTTCTGGAGTTAGGTTGCCTTAATACTGACACCTGGCACCATTCCTAGAAGGGGTTAGATTTGTATTTTTCCTATTTAAACAGCAACCAGTGAGTAGATTTGCACATTCCAGGCATCTGGCAGTAATCCAGTATAATAAAGGTGCCCCCCTCTCTTCCCACTTTAGTAACATAGCATATGTACTACCAGTGTATCCCTTCACATCCAATAGCAGGTCAGAGGCAAAGGGAGTGTGGTTAAAACACAAAATAAGCTCTGTAAAACCTTGGAAGCAAGGGGCTATAAAGCCAGAGTAGGTCATCTCTGAGTAACCAATATTTGATATTATCAACACTAAATTCTTCAAATCAAAGTTTCAGCTCATTTCCTCCTCGTCTTCCTTTAGAGCCTTTTGCCACTGAAGATTTTTTTGCAACATACACTAACAATTTCTGTGCAGATATTTGGGTGGCAAATTGTAACCTGATACCTATTTTGCAATAAAATTACCATAGCATTAAATTGACATAATAGAGACAGAAATTCTATTCAGTTGAATTTTGGTCATGCAGGCACTCACTTTAATGTGGGAGATGAATTAAACTCATCCTTGGGAAATCTAAGGGTAATGACCGAAACACAATGTGATTGAGCTAATTATCAACCAGGTGTGCTTTAAGGAGTTGATGGTTCAATCTATGACTGCTAAGTGCACAAGCCTGATTTGGGGAGGAGTTTATGAGAGCAGGTCAGACATTACAACTTCCCAGAGGGCAAAAAACAATATTTCTGCAGATTTGGCATTGTGTTGAGCCCGCCTAAATCCAGACCAACCACTTAGACCAGCTCAAAGATCTGGAAACTTTTCTAAGACTATCCAAGACCCCAGGAAGCTGTCCATCCTTTGAGGTCCACAGCAGTTACTGTCTATAAGCAATTGGCCTGTACTGCCTGGTACTGAGAGTCAACTTTCCATTTGTATATATCTGGTCTTCTCAACTAAGTAAACTGCTCAAAGGCACACTTTTTTTTTTGTATTTCCAATAATGTCTGACCTTGTTAAGTATTTGCAGATTGAGGTCTTCTGGATAAAAAGCAACTTTTTAAATATGGACACATTGCTGTATGGATTTTTTTTACATTTGTTTGTCTCTGTAACTGAAGTACTGTGTATGAAACATAAACTATTTAATGATTCTTATTCATTATAATGAACATCAGTCTCATATAGTGTGGGTCACAGAACTGGGTGTGTATTGACATCATGATATTCCTAATCAACATTGGCACATATTACTGAATAGAGCCCTGCTTCTCTGAAGACACACCTACCTTCCTACAGCTGTCTCTTGTTCCTTCCTCTATCATTTATTACTGCTCCCTTGACTCATATTTTCCTTTTTCTCCTCCTTGTTCCAGCATCTCAGGAGCCTGACATTCACAGTCACTACCAACCAATTTCAGTACACATTTTTTGTGGTTGTCAAATTGTGTCTTTCTCAAGCTGCACATCATCAATCTTCTTCAATGAATCCCATTCTGCTAGATTGTAAGATACTAGAGAACAGGGACTAAGTCTGAACTGTTATTTATGTCAACTCCGCATTCCACCCTCCACCATCACTCAACCCAAAAGCCTAGTTCAAGGAATGCTCAATAAATAGTTTAACAGAATTCCAGGTTTCCAAGTTGCCCATCAGCTATGGGAAAATTATGAACCTCTAGATGACTGGTAAGTGATTTGACTAATGGTCTAGTGGTTATTAAATTCTACTTAAACTAAAGCTCAGAAGCAGAACATACACATGCCAAGTGGCCTATGGGAGCAGGTTCCAAGTATTCAAATAGGCATTCTTCTAGCAGAGGCCCTTTTGGTTTTTTGTCACAGGGAAACTTCAGTATTTGAATGTTAAATGTTGAATTTGCATTTAGAAGATAACAAAGCAATCAAATATTTATTGAATGCTTGGCACATGGAAGGCCCAACACAAAAAGTCCGTGAGAAAACGGATGTGTTTTCAATAAAGAAGTACAATCAAGATGTGGTAGTAAGAACATAGCAGCAACTCTACACACTTTTGTCTTGAGAATCAGAGACCATCCAGACCCAATAGCTGCGGTGCCTGAGAAAATACTAGATATATATGTCTTACTCCATGTGAAAGGTCTGGAGAGTAAACAAAACAAAGATACAAGGCTTTATCTTCTTTAAACCTTTTACTGATTTACATTTTCCTAGTCAACTGAAAATCAATTTCCTTCTCAAATGCTCCTCCAACAAAATGACGAGGAGGGAGAAAACGTATCTCAGGATATGGTTGCACCTAGGATCATTTCAAAGATTGTCTAAAGGCTGCCCATTACTTTACTGAAACATTCTCTCATGGTGATCCCTCTTCTCAGCTGCAGCCCATGTTCTCTTGGCTACTTGGTGGTGGCAGAGTAACCATCACTGAGCAAAACAAGCTTCCACACAAGCTCCAACTGGGCCAGAGTTGATAAAGAGTAGACTACTAATACAAAAAGATTCACCAAACATCACCCAGAGGGAACTTTTTCGCAAAGTGGTTTTCATTTTTGAAAGTAGATTATGTTTTCTATTTGCCATTTCTCTTTAAATTGCTCTTAAAGACATGTGTTTTTTGGAAATTTCTGTTTGACTCAAACCAACTACTTCTGTTTCTGAAGCAGATCGAGTAAAAAGAATGATTGTATTTCTGGTTAATCCAATAATATGCCACTATAAAATTTATCAAAAGAACCATTGCTATAATAGATGTATTTAATGGCATCTGAAATGTTACCATTTGATTCAGAGAATAACTGTAAGTCAAATTATGCTAATTTTTTTGCAAGAAGGTAAACCAAGAAGGCTTAGAAGACATTAACCTAGTGAATTTTTATGCCAAATATTTACTTAATATTAGAGTATATTTTTTTCCTTTTTGAAAACTTTCTCAAACAAGCACCATTTTAAAACAATTCACCAAAGAAAAGAATTTGCTCATTGTATATCATGCAAATACACACAATTTAAAACCTGTTTCTGGGTACTTTTGAGTTAAGGTTATATATCTGAAAGGGAAAAAAGGTAATTTTTTTTATTTTAGAAAATAATTTTGAGGCATGTGTTTTAAGAAATCCACCATTTACAGAATGTCAAAGATGTCTTTCCTTATTGGAAGTGTAACTATTAGAGCAAAGGATTGGGTATCTCCAGGTTTCTGGAGCTGGTTGTGTAACCTGAAGCAAGTCACTTTGAGTCTCATTTATTATGCCTAACACAGAATATTGTCAAAACCTACCATTGAACTTCCCCCAGGGTTAGGATCAGATGATATATCGGGTTCCTTTCCATTTCTAAAAATCATGAATGAAGATGCCATCTAAATAAAATAATCTGTTTTAAATTATCTGTATTAACCAAGTATTTGTACCCCTGTTATTTTATTAGGTAGCAGAAAGTACAGTGATACTTCAAGTAAGCCTCTCTAAAAAGGAAGTTCATTTTATTTGAAGAAGATATTTTAAGATATTTCATTTTCATATTTTTCTATATTCTTAAAAGTTTTCATAATGCAAATATATTACTTTTGTTCTCAGAAAAAGTAATTATCTCCATCTTGGCATGTGAGATGGATTGGCTTGGAGGCTGAAGATGGTGAAAAGAAACACTTTTTTTTTCATTTTTTTGATCATAAAAAATCATAAATCTGTATTACAGAAATTGTAGAATATACAGGACATAGAGTAAACTATCTATAACTTTACCTCCCCAAAATAATATCCCTTAATAGTCTTGTATATTTCCTTGCAGTATTTTCTCTCTGTGTATTATAAACTGAGACCAGATTTTTCAAATGGATTACTTCGTGAGCATTCCCCATTGTCATTAAAAGTCTTTGAGCAGGCTCAGTGGCTCAGCCTGCAATCCTGCACTTTGGGAGGCCGAGGTGAGCGGATTGCCTGAGCCCGCAGTTTCGAGACCTGCCTGGGCAACTTGGCGAGACCTCATCTCTACAATAAATAAAAAATTAGCCGGGCACGGTAGCTCACATCTGTAGTTTCAGCTACTTGGAAGGTTAAGGCGGAAGGATTGGTGGAGCTCAGCAGGTCGAGACTGCTGTGGCCAGGAGCATGCCACTGCACTCCAGTCTGAGCGACAGAGTGAGACTCCAACTCAAAAAAAAAGTCTTTGAAAACGCCATTTTAATGGCTTTATCAGAGAGTGCTCTACACAACCATTCCCTTATGTTTAAATATCTAGATTGTCTTCCAGTGGTCTGCTATTACTGTATAAACAGTGGGGCAATGAACCCCCTTATTAGAGCATTTCTGTGCACATCTGTAGTACTCAACACAGACACATATCTCTTTTGCAGCAAGCCATTGGCAGAGAAGGAAAGGGTAATAAGATGAGGAGCTAAGTGGGAACTGACTTGTACTATCCCCACCCCTTCCCTTTCTTACTGGCTGTTCTCGCACTCAGTCTTCTTCTTCCTTACTGACCTAAATCTGGCTTAGAATTCTGAGTGACCCTGACCCTGATGCACTGAGCAGAAATGGCTGAGGTAAGAGGCAGAGGCATACAAGATTGTGGCTGGAAGAGCAGGGAAGGCACCAATTACCTGACCAAGAGGGCTGCCTGCTCCTAGCCTGACTCGGGTAGGAAAGGGACCACAAGAGCTCCTTCTGAGCAGTTCCCGAGTCCTGGGCAACAGCTGTGCCAGTACTGAGGTACAGATTCTCAACGCAGTCTAGAGAACAGAGTAGACGTACAGCTGAAGTGTTTCAGATAACTCAATGTACGTTAACATTCTCATCAATATCCAGCTGGGGTTTTCTGATATATCTGACATGATTGTAATTAGTATACAACGAGAGCTTAGTGCCAACTCCATTTTTTTTCTTTGAAATCCTGGAGCCCTATATTTTTACGTCATTTCTTTCTCTGGTCACAAACTGTGTGACAACCAAGTGTGTCACTGGACCATATACATCTTGCTAGTAAAGGAATCATTTTGTGACACATCTCCCCCTTTGGAACACTGCAAACTAATCTGGAAGCAAAAAAAAAGCAAGAAAATAACCCCAAAGAACTAAAGAATAATAAAATGCAATGCTAAAACTATTGTCAGATTGACTGTAAGTGCTCTGAGAGGCCAGAAACAAGAAAAAGGACAGTTTGAGATGGACAACAGGAGGTAAGACATAGCTGTGGAAACGGTAATCGTTGGTTACCCAGAAAGACAGGAAAAATATTCCCAAGACTAATAAAGTCACTTAGGAGGAAATGCATCCCCACAAATAGTCATTCTAGCATGTCGCCTCCCACAGACTAAAATGTTGCTGAGAAAGCAGGAGGCAGTTAGGCAAAATATGCTGGCTAGGTTACTGATTCAAATCTAGTTAGTCACTATAACTGCATTATAGAGGTGGGACTCAGACACTTCAAAGAGAAACCTAAGTCCTTGGCGAAGCAGCACTAAACAAGTAGCAATAAAAAAGAGAAACTAAAACAACACTGGGGCCTAGATCTGTATAAAAACAAAAGTAAAGAAAATAGTCTTTTCTAAAAGAAAGTTGACATCTAAGTGCAAACAGCCTCAAGGGTACCTTTCATTTGCTTTCTGGCCATTTGTACATGACCTTACGCACAAGGCAAAGAAAGCAAACTTACCACATCATCTCCACCCCATGGGGCACCATCTGCTCCCTTCAAAATAAGTCCCTACCTCATCAAGCACCAATAGTTTATGTGTTTAACTATTAGCAGATACTTATTCTTAAAACCACTTTATTTAAAGGAAAAACAGAGGTTGGAATACCATGTAATCAGGAAGCCCGTTTCATAGGGAAGCTGGAACAATGGAAAGAGCACATCTTCTACTATTTGCCAACATCTTTTGGACCTACTTGAGGAAAACATTCATAAAATTGTGCTGTCTCTGCCATAAATTACTCCAATAGAATTCTTTCTGAATTATTCTATCTCTATGTATATGGAGATCAAAGACCCACTGGCTATTCCTTACTGAAATAATCTACAGCTTCTAATAGAGTTATCTGGAGGCAAATGAATAAGCTATTAACACTTGCCAGACCAGTGAGACTGTAAAGTTAACTGCAGATGGGGTGAAAGGAGCTTTGAAGTACACAGCTTTCTTTCAAGTTGTCTAAGTCTCCCATTGAAGAATACCCATCCTTGGGAGATCACACCTTCAGATTATCATATGGAAAAGCTCTAGGTGAATTGAATCTGCATAACATGGTCAGCATCAACCAGTTTAGGATACCAGAAAAGAAAATGTATATCAAACCTGTTCCCAAAGACTACACTCTGGCTTGGTAGAAATGTCAGTCCAATGCTATATACAACTTTTCATTTAGCAGAAATTTGGATTATACAAAACAAAATCAGGGATTTGACCAGTTCTCAAAAATAGTTTGCTTCCCATTGAGACAGAAACAAGGTGATACATAAAAAGATGAAGGAAAATATTTCAAATAAAACGGGAGGGGCTGGACAAGGAGGAAGAAAGACATAAAGCAAAAAACAAAAACAAAACAAAAAGGTAAGGAACAGAGATTGTTCATATTAAATTCATCTTCTTAACAGTACTATCCACAGTATCTTTAACATTTAATAGGCATAAAAATAGAGGATAAAATGTATTCCATGGCCATAGATACATATGCTAAGCGGAACTACAAGTCACAAAGAGCAAGGTCATCTAATGCGAACATGTATAAAAAAAAACTCCACTTTCTTCAAACCTAGATTGACTTGAAACATTCTAAATGAAATCATATCTGTTCTTGTGTTCATCCCAAGTAGAATGCCGATACTCATAACTTCAAAAACAAATCTTAGAACCCTTCCATTTTCCAAGGTTTGTAATGCTCTTTTTTAAGTAGGAAAGAAGAAAAACTGATGCAAGCAACCCAAGAACCAAGATATCTCTGCTATTTTTAGAGAAAGAGAAAAGAACAGGATACATTAATATGCAGCCCCAAACTGACTTAAGTTTATATCAAACGTGCCTATGAACTATGCCTTCTAATTTGTAGAAGGTAAACTGTGCGTTACATTAAATAATGGACATCAGAACAGTTACTAGTAATTTTGATAAGTTAGTTGGACTGGACTGAATGTCCAGAGTCTGGGTTAATGCAAATTACTTGCAAAGGATGCATTTTTACAGTATACAGAGGTCTGACAGCTAGAACTTTGATAAATCTGAGCAATATATAAATGTCTATTCAAACAGGTTTTATTTAACAAGATAACACCTGATTTCCAGATCATTCTAGTATTATTCATCTATAGTCAATCATTCATTCTTCTCTCCTCCCCACCATGAGCCAATCATTCAAAACTTTATTAAGTGCCTGCTACCTGCAAGGTACTTTTTCATTTCCATCTGCACAAGATGTCTGACTCTCTAAAATCTAAGATGCTCATGTTTTTTTCTTTTTAAAAGTTGTATTATTGACCGGGCTTGGTGGCTCAGCCTGTACTCCCGTGCTTTGGGAGGCCGATGTGAGTGGATTGCCTGAGTCCGCGGGTTCGAGACCCGCCCGGGCAACTTGGCGAGATCTCATCTCTGCAATAAATCAAAAAATTAGCCAGGCGTGGTAGCACGCGCCTGTAGTTCTGGTTACTTGGAAGGCTGAGGCAGAAGAATCGCCGGAGCCCAGCAGGTCGAGGCTGCAGTGGCCGGGAACGGCCACTGCACTCCAGTTTGGGTGACAGAGTGAGACTCCAACTCAAAAAACAAAAACAAAAACAAAATAATTATCTTTTATTTATGAGGTTTCTTAACATACTCTTGACCCAAAATTGTTCGTGACATATGCTTACATATATGTTATAAATTAAAGGGAATTAAAATTCATTTTAATTAAGTTTAGAATTAAAATCAATTTTTCTCTGAAGATGTTTGCATTTGTTTTTTCCTCACAATTTCATAATACCCTTGATATAACTGGAGCTACACAAAGGTGCTGAAGACCTGAACTAGAAAGGCAATTTTCTACAAGTCTATTCTACAAATTTGTAAAGTAGGGCACACGTTAAAATTGTCTCCAATACAAAAAAAAAACTTTTAAAATAAGAATTTCGAAAATTTTTGATCATCTCACCACCAAAAAACAGTCACCGTTCACATTGTGATATAAGACTTACCAGAATTATTTCTGTGTATCAGTTTCTCTGTTTTCACACAGGTATATCATACTATAACCACAGCTTTATATGCTATAGAAACTACAGACTACAAAGCTTTACAACACTCTAACAAATGGACATACCATGGTTTATATAACCATTCACCTCTGTATTATGAAATATTTTGCTTCCAACATTTTATCGTCATAAAACACCTCTGCTCATAAAGTTGTTTTTTACTAAATTCAGGATGACTTTTCTTAGGAAAAAGTCCCAGAAGAAGAAATACTGGGTCAAACAAATGAATATTGATAATATATATTGCCAAATTATTGTCCCAGAAGGGTTATACCAGAAATGTATGAATGTGTCCATTCCACTAACTCCTTACCATCAGCAAATATTTAATATATATGTGTGTGATATATTATATTTTCCTTATTTGTGAGTTAAAAACAGTGTCTCATTGTTTTCATTTGCATTTCCTTGATACATTCGCATTCCTTTTTTGTTTTGTTTGTTTGTTTGTTTGTTTGTTTGTTTGTTTTCCGGGGTTTTTTTTGAGTGGGAGTCTCACTCTGTCACCCAGACTGGAGTGCAGTGGCTGCTCCTGGTCACCGCGGCCTCGGCCTGCTGGGCTCCAGCGATCCTTCCGCCCCAGCCTTCCAAGTAGCTGGAACTACAGGCGCACGCTACCACACCCAGCTAATTTTTTTATTTATTGTAGAGATGAGATCTCGCCAAGTTGCCCGGGCGAGTCTCGAACCTGCGGGCTCAGGCAATCCACTCACCTCAGCCTCCCAAAGCGCGGGATTACAGGCTGAGCCACCGAGCCCGACTTAAAAATCTTCTTTTTGGAGAGAAGACACTTTAAGATTTCTGTTAAAGCAGACAGGCAAATCTAGCATCAAGTCCTATTAGAAGTCAAAATAAAGGCAGATAGAGAAACCTGGGGGGGGGGGAAAGGTCTATTCAAAAACTTTTAGTAACCTTTTTAAATTTTCTTTTTAATTTAACAACTATAGATGCCAGTCATTTTAGTTGTTTATCAGTTTTCCCCAGTTGTACGTAAAGCCCTCACAACTGGAAATTTCACTCATTCGCTTAACGTTGCTGAGGACCCAACTTATGTCAAGCACAGTGCTAGGTTCCACAGATATAACAGTGAATACAGACCCTATCTTGCTCTAACAAAGTCCTAGTCTAGTGGGGAAGAAACGAGGCTTGTTTAGAGGACTGTGAAGCACATAGCAAGAGAACCTAACCATGACTTCAAGGGTCCAAATTGAGACCAAAACTGAATATCCTCAGTTATTTCTTTCAACCATGTCTCACATGACATAATTTTCAGACTCATCATGGTTACTATCCTCTGGATACATTCAACTTTGTCATTGTTCATAAAATGTGGTGACTATACTTGAACATAATACTCCAGATGTGGTCTGAGCAGCACACATGCTTCTAATACAGCCTAAAATTGTTTTCACTTAAAAAAAAAAAGCTACACCACATTGTTGGCTCATATTAAACTTGTGATCAACTAACTCCCCAAGAACTTTTTACATAAACTGCTGCCAAGTCACA